CCACCGCTGGAAGGCGACCCGAGGAGCTCTGCCCCGAGCCAGCGGACCCGGGCGCCGGAGAGGTTGGGACTGCGAAGGATGCGGCCATAACAGGTGACATTCCAATAACGACTATCCCCCCTGTTGAACCTCACTGTGATCGCGGTCAAGAGACGGCAGCCGCCCCTGACCCTTCCTCTGTTGATCCACCCTCAGAGCAATCGATTGATCGTATTTGTTTGATGTTTGCTGACGTGACTTCACTGAAAAGCTTTGACTCTCTTACAGGCTGCGGAGATATTATTGCGGACCACGAGGAGGATGGGGGCGGCGGGAGTGGCGGCTGCGAGAAGAGCACCCCTGGGGCCGGCAAGCTGGGTGCCTCCAAGAAGCACCCCACTATGGTGGCCTACCAGGGAGGAGGGGAGGAGATGGCCAGCCCGGACCAGGTGGATGACACCTACCTGCAGGAGTTCTGGGATATGCTGTCGCAGACAGAGGAGACCCAGACAGAAGGAGGAGGAGGAGGGACAAAGAAGCCTGAGGGGTTGAAGGAGAACCGAGGTACTGAGGGGGCCCAGAACAGGGCGGCGGTGAAACGTGGTGGCCTGCACCAGATCCCCATTCACCTCAACCACAAAGAGGAGCAGAAGGGCAGGGAGAAGGAGCATCAGCACGAAGGCGTCCCAAACAGCGACGAGGGCTACTGGGATTCCACCACCCCAGGTCCCGAGGAAGATGGTTCCACAAGCATCCAGAAGGAGACCATTCCCAGGGACAGCTACAGTGGGGATGCTCTGTATGACCTTTACACCGAGCCGGATGAGAACCCACCAGCGGCGCCTGCGGATGAAGAGGTCACCTGCGTGCCACGCTCCAAGCCCGTGTCTCCAATAACAACCACGTGCTCCCTGAAAACACCCTCAAGCACAGTGAAGGACTCCAAGATACCCATCAGCATTAAACACCTTTCGTCGCATCCTGCCAGCCATGGAGCAGACGCCAGCAACAGCCATCACGTCACACACCATCACCTGGCCAAAAGTGAGATGCACAGAACAAAAATCCCCGTCTCTAAAGTCCTGGTACGCCGGGTCAGTAACAGGGGCTTAGCAGGGACAACGGTGAAAGCTGCCACGTACCAGGACAGTGCCAAAAAGTAGCTGAGCAAGAGGTGGAGACAAAGGCAGACAGCAAGGTCAGTGTGTGAAAGCCTGCGTTAGGTGACCACAGACAATGAAGTAGTTTTGTGTCACCTGAGGAAAGGCACCTAAACAGCTTCCTTCACTCTGCTCCATGGGCCTGCACTTCTGAATCCCTTCTTACTAGACTGTTATGGCTGAATATGAAAAGCCGACTTCTTTTTGAGCACTTTTTTTACATTTGTATCTTTTTCCTGCAGCACTAAACACTGGGGAGGTTCATTTTTACATGCCTTTTTGGAAGCAGGACTCGGATCATGAACCTAAATGAGCATCCTTCCTCATGCAAAGCAGTGCCATGAGTTCTTCAAGGGAACAGAGTTGCAAAAGGAGCGACACGAGGTTCTCCAATACACTTACCTTTCAGTTGTTTCTGGGGGAGGAGTGGAGGGTGGGCGTCTGGCTCCGAAAATGTTGTTTGCTCTACAAGATGTTGGAAAAAATGCCAAGTGAAACCCAACCAACCTAACAGGTATTTTACCTGCTGTAGGAACGAGAGCACTGCTCAGCAGCAGACTTGATTGACTTGTGTGCAGTAGCTGACTAAGGCGTTAGGTGGACTTGGCTAACAGGAAAACATATTTTTGTTTGTTTGTCTGTCTGGTTGGTTTTGATCTGGTCTAATGTAAATGGGAAACAGACACCTGACCTAGGTTCAGATGTTTACATCAATACTTGTCCGATAGTGCATACAATCAGGTTCAGGGAAACATTTTACTAAATGCCAATATATACACACTGTTCACATTTATACAATAACTTGCTCGCCATGTGTAAATATATACGTATTTTAGCAGATTTACTCAATGCTACAGATTTTTTATATATAAAAAAAATCACCTGTCTGTATTATCTAGAGTTTAAGCAAGAGTTAGTTTTTATAGGTAGATAATTTTACAGTTCTAAAACGATAGAACTTTGTGTAAGTACCTTAAATTAGAGCAAAACTCTGTTTTGTATGGGCTCATGCATCCCCAGATAAGTAAGTCTGAAGTGCTGATTTTATTCCAGTGGCACATTCCGTGTGTCAGAGCTGAGGTTCTGACAGCATTGCTACTGCAAACCTCTATTTTCAGGGGTTAAGACAAAGTTGCTCTGGGCTTAAACCTTATGGAGAAGGAACCCAGTAAAGAAACGTGTTTTTTAATTATTATTTTTTAAAATATATAAAATTAGTTTTTGACTATTTAAAGAAAGTTTGGGTTCTCGTTGCTTTTTATTTTTCATTCTTAATAATGTCAGAATAATTTTACTTTTAAGAGAGAAAAATATGGTAAATTAGTGGTACGTAAAATGGTCTGATGAGCTTGGATCTTAAGAGAAATGTATTAATGGCCAGGGCTTTTTTGAACAGTGGCTACTGTAAGTGGGCATTGACAACACTTCAAAGAAATTTAATAGGGTTTTAATGTGCCTGAGGACATATTTTTATGATACACTGAAAAAGCTCCAAAAATCACTGAAGTCTAAAGGTAAATGTTATGTATTTACAAAATATTTTGATATAAGTATTTAATCATCAGACCACAGTTAATATAAAGTATATGCTCCAGTGTATCTGAAAAATAATTTACATTTAAAAAATATAAGTCTATATTATGCAGAGAATCCTAACTTCACATCACTGAAGCTAATGGGTCTGATCTTACATAGCAGTTGGTTTTATTGTCTCTTAAGTGGAAAGAAAATAAGGAAAATAAATATACAGAATATACATTTGAAGGATATTAAGGTTGTAGGTAAACCATAAAAAGCCAGGAAATACCATAATAAGACTTGTAATATATGTATACGCGTGGTTCACTGGGGAAATGACCTTACAGTCACAAGGGTAAAATTGGCATGTAGTTCTGAAATTGCTGCAGGATTTAATACCGAACTGCAACGCCCCAGTGAACAGGGAGAAAGCGTTAGTTTTCCTGATCACTCCCTGTTTCCATGGTTTGAGTAAGAACCTTAATACACTTCAGAGGAAGATTATCGTATGTGTTTTCTTTCTAACCTGTACGTGTGTGGTTTTCTACATGCCTGCTCACACAGACGTGTTGTACATATGCATGTGAAGTCAGCACGCACCTCCTCCTTGGGTACGTGCACCCGGGCTATGGCGCGCGCCTGTGCACGCTCGCGTGAACACAGCCATGCGTGCATGCTCCCACGCACCGGCTGAGGGCACGAGCTGTAGCTCTCTCTCCAAACACGCTGGCGGTGATTTCCTTGGCCTGAGAAAGGGATTTGCATTTGGCCTGACTCTGCTTGTGCGTTTTAGGATGTTCGAGCTGAAACACCCTCAAAAGGATGAGCGTACAGCACGTGCAATATTATCCTGGTCCTCGGCCCTAAACCTAACATTCCTTTTCATTTTGTTTTCGTCTGACTGTAAGGGACACATCTTTCCTTGCATGACAGCTCTGCAGAAAAATCATAATTCCCCATTTTGTTTTAAAGACAAAACTGTGCAGGCAGGTTGTATAGGGTACTGGAAGTTGAGAGGGAAGGAGGATGTGGCAAGCTTGGGGCAGTACCATAAAAACTGGCAGCCCCGAGTACAGGTGGTAGGAGTGGCGCATCTTTAAAACCACTAGAAAATCATTGGCTATCATCTCACAGCACTTGTGTGTGGGGCAGATTAGTCGTCATACGCGTTTTGTTTGCATTGTGGCATGTCTGTATCGGGAAACCAGTAGTGACGGTAGGCTAGCTCCCTCTTACGTAATGACTAACACGAATGATCATTAAAATGCTTTGGCTTCCCTTCATTTTTCTCTCTCTTTTGTTTTCTGACCCGTTTTCCCCCACCCCATCCTCTGCATGCTGGCGGGTGGCTTCCTCCTGGGTGCCAACCCCGGGTGCGGGGCGGG